GCTAGAGGGGCTCCCAAGCCATGAGAAAAGAAAACTAAAGAAAACCAAAAAAAGGCCCTGGGTATCCCACCAGCATGGCAGCATGCACTGGGGAAGCAGTTCCCCAGCTGAGCAGCACCTCACAGCTTGTCAGGAAGAAGCAAAGATGGCACACAGAACCAGGTGTTTGAGAGAAAGGAGGGGGAGGAGGTGACAGGCAGGGAAGCAGCCGAAGAAAGCAATACCAGCAGCAAAGAAACGGCACTAAAGGAGCCGACCTGTGTGGGTGGGGCGAATGCAAGTAGCACAAAGCCAGTGCCTCCTAGCCAGCCAAGCCTAGCTGGGAAACGGCAGAGGCCAAGCAGGGGGAAGAAGGGTGGGAGGTGAGAAAGTGTATGTTGCTGGTTACTGGGTGCTCTCTCCTGCTGGTAGCTCCGTGGAGCTGCTTTCCTGTACTCCTTGTCTGCTGATCTCCAACAGGAGTCCAAGATGGCAAATCTGTGCTTCGTTAGCTGATAGGGGACTTCTGCTCGTATCTCTCCTTGCTTTCTGTTCTCTGTCAGTTTCCTATTCCATTTGGTGCATGGCTGAGTTCTTTGTCTCTTCATTTGGCACTTAGGGTTCCAGAATCGACATTTGCCTCTGTTTTACTTAGTTTTTCAGGTCTTTACTATGGAGGGACAGCGTGGTGCTTCTGCCTATAGTGCCATGTTGGCTCCGCCCTCGGGTAATTAGTTTTTGAAGATCATCTAAGATCATGAAATCTCATGGCCCTTTTTATTAGGAACTTCTAATGTTCATTTTGTTTTCTTATGATGGAAAAATAAATGCATCTAATCTCTTTCAAGCTTATCTTTAAAAATCAAATATTTTCCTTTCATTATTAATGTTTTAAGACACATCTTAGGAAGAAACGTCTTTAAGGAAAGTACTTTGCTGACTGGTTCAGCCTGGCCACTTGACATTTTGTGTTTGTTCACCTGAACCACAGTAGCTTTTGAATACATCAGTTTGTCCAGGTGTTGACCAGTAACCTAAAATTAGCCTCCAAAATTGGAAGGTGCCAAGAGACCAAAGAAAGAGGTAGGCAACTCCAGTGTGGCGGCAAAGGAGTTTTACTAGGGAGACTTACATCTTGGGCGGTCCCTGGTGGCCGCAGGACCAAAGCTGATCTCTTCACCCTGCAGTGGAAGGGCAGAGATTTTATAGTGGTGGTGGACAATAGTGGCCCCATGCCAGGGGCTTACATAAGAACGCAAACTTTAGTGAACTGGCGGCTCATGTTCGGCTTTGCAAAGCTTGTTTCCCCTTTAGTCCACCCCGCAAGGCCAGTCTCATTTAGTAAAAGAGACCTCATTCCCTCCCTTCCAGGAACAGATATCGAAGTGGAGTTGGCTGGGTGCCATATGGTGCCCGAGCATGTGCAAGAGACAGAAAGTTACTGTGTGCCCAGAACAGGGGGAAGGCTTCTCTGATAAGGGGAAGAAACTGGGAAAGAGAAGGTGACCCAGTTCCCAGCCTCCTTATTGGAGAGCCAAAGGCCTTTATTTAGGAAACCTGGATGGGAATCATAAAGGCAGACCATTCCCCCAACAGAATTCACTTTCATTAGAATTGGTTCGCTACTAAAGAACATATAGTTCTTTTTGCCTATTTCAGTAATACAAACCTGAATATAAGTTAAAGAGATAAATGTCTTATAAGAAAAAGAAAAAAGCTAAATATACCATCTTTTAAAAAAAAATGGGCTTGTCACTTTTAATCCCTTAAGGGTAGGGGCCTCTGTATATCTAAATATCTTTGTATGTCACTCAGCTACATAGCACATGGTGCCAGGAACATAATAGGTGCTTAGTAAATATTTGTGGAATGAAAAGCCATTCCTTACCCACATTCGTTGATGTATGCCACTTGAGTCACACTGACCTATCAGAAGGAAAATAATTATATCATCACAAGTAAAATATATTATCTTCCTACTAAGGGAAGTGTTCATTTTGCTTCGTCTTAATGTACTGTCCTGCCTTATAATATCGAAACTTTTACATAATTAATCTGTTTTTCTCAACTGACTTCTAATTTCTCTGAAAACTGGGAACCATAGTTGTTCATCATGTTTTCTTAAATTCCACTGCTTTCTTCTGAGTTAACTTTTGTTTTCATTGAAGTACATTCTTCAGAGGCATTGGTTTGGCAGGAGTCTGTGTCTACCAGTAGTCTTCATATATCTGAAAATTTCTTGTATTTTAACTGGGCATAGCATTCTAGATTGACAGTTATTTTCTGTCTGCACTTTGACAATATTCCATTATCTTCTGGTGGTGGTGGTGTTGAATAAAAAGTCTACTGTTCATCTGTTGTCATTTCTTTGTAGGATACTTGTCTTTTCTGTCTGGTATTTTTAAGATACTCTCTTTATCTGTGATTTAACAAGGTACAGATTTATTTCCACTTTTCCCATTAGGGATTCTCTCTGCTTTTTCAGATGAAAGATTCATACCTTCAGTTCTCTATATTATCTCTTTGGCATTATCTCTTCACTTTTTTCTGTTCTTGACTTCTAGCGTTCTAAAAATTTTGGTATGTAGTCTGCTATGTCTCCTGTTTCTTAATTTCTCTTTCTTATTTCCTTTTCTTTGTTTTCTTTTTCCCTCTCTCTTCACTGCATTCTGAGTACTTTCTTGAGTTTTTCATCTTTTATTGTAAAGCTGCTGAGTCTACTGCTCAACCTAGATTTTAGGGTTTTTTTTTTTTTTTTTTTCTGTTTTTTATTTCAAAACTACATTTTATTTTTAAAGTTTATATTTGGTTCTTTTTTCAAATCTGCCTCTATAATGCCCAGTTCTTGCTGGTGGATTCCATTCCTTCTTTATCTTTTTGAGTGTGTTAATGATTGAAATTCTTTCATATTGCTTTATCATCTGTACCTCCTCAGGTATGGGTTCTCACATGGTAGTGGTTTTCATGGTAGCGGGTCTGAACTCCTCTTTAGTGAGAGTTTTCTCTCCCGTTAGAATCACAGGCATTCTCTGGATTATGGAAGTCTTCCTGTGGTATGTTTTTATTCACCCCTCATTGAGACCTATGGTTTTCACTGGTTCTGGGCCAGGTTTTTATGTTGGTTTTTCATCTTCGTTTTTCCATACCATACAGATGGTGCAAAATCAGATTCCACAAATGGCACAAGCTGGAAGTTCCATTTTTTCACCAGTGAATTTTTCTATCTAGAGTAAGAAGGTAGCCTGCTTCTCTCCTGTGTCCCCAGCCTCGGCTTCCCAAGGTCTAATTTACCTTTTAGTCCCTGTTGAGTTTTTTTGTTAGTTTGTTTTATTTTTAATGAAAGGAGATAACTCACTTCCGTGTCATCTTCTCACACACAGGGCCTTGTAGACTGTAACTTAAGACCGTTGGGGCTGCTGAGCTTCAGTTCCAGCTCACTTTGAATTACTTCTTTGTTTTTGGCACCTAGACATTTTCCTCTCTTGCTTTTGATTTCAAATATAATTTTTTTGTTGCTGTCAGATTGTATCCAATATTTATCTTTTTGGAATGGGATGGGGACTTTGCACATTATTCAGTATACCATCTTATCAGGGAAATTGGTGTCCCTCGGTGGTGCAAATGGTTAATGCATTTGGCTGCTAACTGAAAGGTTGGAGGTTCAAGCCCCTCCAGATGTGCCTCGGAAGAAAGGCTTGATAATCTACTTCCAAAAAATCAGCCATTGAAAACTCTGTAGAGCACTGTTCTCCTCTGACACACATGGGATCGCCATGAATCAGTCGACTTGATAGCAACTGGTTTAGTTTAAAATAATTTTTTTTCTGACTATAGTTAGCAATTTACATTAAGCAAACAATCCATAGTCTGTAAAATAAATGTGATTCTGTAATTTCAACCAACTGTAGTTAACATCTTAAAATCACTAAATATGCTTGCAACCCAGTGAAGGCTGAAAAGAAGTATTATAAAACTGGTTTCTAATTTATTTAATTATCTCATAAAGATTATTATTTTTAAAGTTTGTCTACTTATATAAAATTAAATAACTGAAAGACTGCTTAATAACTTTGAAATTACTGAGTTTTAAAAATGTAGATATTACATTTTTATGACATCATTATATAATCATGAATTTATATCCTTATTTGGAATAGTGGATATCAGCACGTGTATGCCCACAGTCTTGGCAACAGAAACACCGTATTGTTGCTATTTACTTTTACATCAAAGAAGATATGAAAGTAATATACCCCTATATCTCCTTTTTAAAGCTCTAGGTAACATCTTCTGACATAATGATTTTAGTTGGAGAATACTATATACTTGATTATAAAAAGTATTGGGAAAAAGTAAGACAGTCTCCTTATTTCACCAAAAATAATTGTTTTTCATACCTGATTTTTGCTTCTTTCCCTTTTTTCAGACATACCAAGAAAAAATCAAGAAAGATACATCGACATACACAAAGAAAGGCCAACAACCAGGTAAAGGAGACATTTCCTTTCCCTTTTACATTTCATACCCTGTAAGCCAGAAGAAGAAAAAAGTCTACCGTACAGACCAGACCACCTTCATAATTGGAGAAACGCCAAAAAGGATTCGCAGGTATGTCCTCTGAGACAACGCTAGGCTTTAAGAATAATTCTCAAAATAGATAATAAAACTCCTTAGTAAAATATACAGATTGTTTGAATTATGACCATACCTGGCACCTGAATATTTCAGAAAAATGTGATTTTTTATACTTTAAAAACAAAATTCCATATGTTTTAGATGTTTTTAGAAGGCTAATCAGAGCTCTGGTGGCACAGCGGTTAAGAGTTCATCTGCTAGCCGAAAGGTTGGCAGTTTGAGTCCACCCGGCACTCCTTGGAAACCCTATGGGGTAGTTCTACTCTGTCCTGTAGGGTCGCTATGAGTTGGAATCAACTCAACAGCAACGGGTTTGGTTTTTTTTTTTTTTTTTCCCAATCCCTGATTTGATAAAAAATGAAATTGTTTTATAATAGAGAAATGAAATACTTCATTGCATTTTATTCATTCATTCATTGAATATTTATCGAGCTGGCTCCTGAATATACAGTGTGAACACAGGCAGACATAGAACTCACAGTGCAGCAGTGAAGGTTGACATCAAACCATAAAATTAAAACACGTAAAAAAAACTTATAATTAAATCATTTTACAGTGGTATGTTATAGGGAAAAAATGGACAGGCTACCTTGATAGAGAATAATGGGGGGTGGGGAGGGGTGCAGCCACCTTTGTATTGGGTATCAGAGATGATCTCTCTGTGTAGGTGATATTTAAGTTGAGCCCTGAAGATAGCCTTGCAAAGACCAGAGTAAGAGCACCCCTGCGGAGGGGAGAGGTCCATTGTGTTGGAGGAACTGAGAGAAGACTGGCATACTTGGTGCATAATAAACCAAGTGGAGAGTAGCATGAGATGAAGGTAGAGACATAAATGAAATTGGAGCATGCAAAGCCTTGAAGACCATGGAAAGAGTTTGGACACCATGTAGGTCCTCAAGCCCAAGAGAAGTGAGAGTTTCAAAAAGGAAGGAGGATGTAACTTTATCAAATGCTGCTGAGAGCCGGAATAAGATGCAGTGGGAAAGGGCCTACTGGACTTGAGGTCCTTGGTTGCCTTGACAGGAGTAGTTTCAGAGAAACGGAGGGCAGAGGCCAGGTAAGGGTAAGATGGGTGAACAGTGAATGGGGAGACCCTGTGACAGCTTTCTGAGTTTGGATTGGAAAAGTAGCAGTAGCTGGGGGCATTGTGAGGACAGGTCAGTTTTTTAAAGTTGGGAAGATAATAGACCCTGTTTGTATGCTGAGGGAAATGACTAATAGGGAAAAAAGAGGTCAGACCAGAGAGGTGATAACAGAAAGAGTGAAGTCTTACAGGCAGGAGATGGGTGCAGGCCATGGCGACATCTGGCCTTTGAGAGGCATTGCAAGAGAAGGACGAAGACAGGCTTTTGTTTCCTCAGTGAATGGAGAATGGAGGCCGTCCTTTCAGAGAGAGAGAGAAGGTACGAAATAACTCATTTATAAAGTAGAAAAGTAAGCTTAGTAGGACTAGAATTCCTGGGGAATGTTAAGTCCTTGTTTGAGATGAATTTCAGTAAAACCATCTGTCCAGTTGTATAGTATTATTTAGCAAACTTCAGTTGCTCTGTTGCAGACACAGAAAGGGAGACGGCTGATTTCTACAAGAGGTTACAGTGCAGGGAGAGAGAAGCAAGGAAGCTGAGGGGTGTTTGCAAAGGAGTAATTATAAAGCTGCAGGTAAGCTGGACAGGGAGAGGCTGATGGATAGTGAAAATCACAGGAGTCAGTGAGTTGGAGGGCTTGATGAGGACAAAATTATATTGCGTTGTTGTTGGGAGGGTGTTAGTGAGTGAGCGGGTGAGCTGGAGCATTTGATAATTGAATTCAGGGTTTTGGAAGTTGTGCCATTGATGGTAATGACAAGGGCAGTGGTATGTGACCTTCGGAGACGGGGGCTGACATGGAGTGGAGATGAGTCTTTGGAGGTGAGGTGGAGAAGTTGGGGGGGGGGCAGGTGTTTGGCGAGGCATCCACATAGATACTGACATTATCCAGGAGATAGGGTGGAAAGCAAGATTAATCTAGGATCTTGAGTGTTCAGTGAATAGCAGGAAGCAACTAAAGGGTCAGTTAACAAGATGAGGCAGAGAATGGTTTAGGTGGCTGACATAAACCTTAAAGAGGGGACCACGTTTTCAGAGAAAACAGTGGCCTGGAAGCAGAATGTGAAGCCTGAACCCTGAGGTTAAGGAGGTGAGAGCCTTGTCGTGAGAGGGCTTCATGGGAAGGAGGCAGTATCTTCAGGGGACAGCCAAGGGTGAGTTGAGACCGGGAGGCAGAGGAACTGCTCAGCATGGAAACTGAAGACACAGGGGGTTGGTAGATCATAGCCTAGATCCAGGGGCACCGAGGAATGGTTTGGATCAGATCAGAGCAGGTAGAGATCAGGAGGGGATGAGAAGCCCATGGTGATAAATGACTGAGAGGTAGTGCCTGAGGTAAGCAGGGATGGGAGGTGTGGTTGGGTTAGTCCTGATGGTCTCTGGGGACACTGTGCTGGCTTTGTGGGTTCAAAATTCTTCCCTCAGTGGTGTGGCAACTCCCTTGGGAAGCAGCAGTCCAGGGAAAAGGCTGATCCCTCAGCTGCACATGGTGGTGTTGTGGCAGCTGGAGAGTTGCATGAATACGCAAGCACCTCCGGACACTGCTGCAGCAACACATCTCCTCGCAAGCAGATCTGCAACCATTTTTGCAGCACTTATTTTGCTAGGAAGCCCACCATACATTTTACCAACCTGAGCAGCAGATGTATCTTCATCCTCTTTAACATTGTATATCAAAATATAAGTATTAACAGTGATTAATTTTGCCCTCCCTTCCTTTTTTCTACCCAGCCTAGGGAATAAATGCCTCATACTAAGTGAAAATGTGAAGGGTGTCTAATGTTAGAATGCCAGCACCTAACTTAGGGAACAATATCCCACTGCTGACACCTCCTCTTTCTTGCTAACCATGCTGGTTTATCAAAATCAAGAATTTGTACTGTGTCGCAGCCACGTAAATTATTTGAATGAAGTTTTCAGTCCTCCTTTCACTTCAGAATCCTTAGGTAGAGAGATGATTTTAGCTGCATTCTACCTCCTCTTCCCCAGTTCTTTCAAGAAAAGGGGGGAGAAATGTCAATTTTATCCATGATAATAACTACACTCTGATGCACTTGCTGAAAGATGCCTACCTTTTGGGTCCATTCCTTTTACTTTCTCTACGTGGCTTATGGGTGTCTACTCTGGTTTGGTAAATTTTCGTCACAGAGTGGCTAGCTTATACCCTGATGGTAGCATGCAGTTCCTTAAATTCTCACAGAAATTGTTTTGAAGACCAAGAATTAGGAAAGAGAGTTAGAAGTCAAAAACAAAATGAATTACGATTGTAACTCACCCTGTACAGGGCTGCATCATGGCATAACTCACATACAGCTCAGATAAGATGGCATGAGAAGCAGCTTGTCTCTTAGAGGTGACAAAATACGGGGTCGCTGGTGGGGTCATGGTTGCAGCACAGCAAAGGTGAAGTTAGTTTGGCAGCTGCTGAGACACTACAAAGTCTTAGATAAATAAAGGACATCAAATTGTGACTTTGCCAATCATTTCATCTTCACAAGCACAAATATTTATTACAAAGCAATGCAGATGGATTTGAAGATGATTAATAAACAAAATAATAATATCCCATTACTCCTGTGAATTCACTCATGTGAAGTGAAAACGGGAACGTTTTAAAAACATGCTTGTTGCTTTCCAGCAAGAACATTGGCACTTTCCAGGACAGAAATTTGGAAGCTTGTACTTGTGTTATTAACTATTCTGTTGGACATGAGCATAGTTATTCATCAGGCATATGTAGTATCTGGATTTTGTAACACTCACGAGGACTAGGAGCCATGGGGACTGTGTGCCATGTTTGCTCACCTGAAGCCACAACAGCACCATGGGCATGCAGTATGGTTTGCCACTAAAATCAACAGAGGTATAAACTTCATATAACCTGGTCTGGGAGGCAAAAATAACAGTGGCATTAATGCTCCTACTTGTTGTTGTTAGGTGCTGTCGAGTCGGTTCCGACTCAGACCTTAGGTACAACAGAACAAAACACTGTCCAGTCTTGCACCATCCTCATAGTCGTTGCTGTGTTTGAGCGCATTTTTGCAGCCACTGTGTTGATCCGTCTTGTTGAGGATCTTCCTCTTTTTACTTGACACTCTACCACGCACGATGTCCTTCTCCAGGGACTGGTCCCTCCTGATAACATGTCCAAAGTACATGAGACGAAGTCTCGCCATCTTCAATTCTAAGGAGCATTCTGGATGTACTTCTTCCAAGACAGATTTGTTCATTCTTCAGTCATGGTGTCTTCAATATTCTTTGCCAACGCCATAATTTAAAGGCATCAGTTCTTCTTCAGTCTTCCTTGTTCATTATGCAGCTTTCGCATGCATATGAGGCAATTGAAAATACCTTGGCTTGGGTCAGGTACACCTTAGTCCTCAAAGTGACATCTTTGCTTTTAACACTTTAAAGAGCTCTTTTGCAACAGATTTGCCCAGTGCAATGCGTCATTTGATTTCTTGACCGCTGTTTCCATGGGCATTGATTGTGGATCAAGTAAAATGAAATCCTTGATAACTTCAATGTTTTCTCCGTTTATCATGATGTTGCTTATTGGTCGAGTATTGAGGATTTTTGTTTTCCTTATGTTGAGGTATAATCCATACTCAAGGCTGTAGTCTTTGGTATTCATCAGTAAGTGCTTCAAGTCCTCTTCACTTTCAGCAAGCAAAGTTGGCTCATCTGCATATCACAGGATGTTAATGAGTATTCCTCCAATCCTGATGCCCCGTTCTTCTTCCTATGGTCCAACTTCTCGAATTATTTGCTCAACACACAAATTGAATAAGTATGGTGAAAGGATACACCCCCGACACATACCTTTCCTAACTTTAAGCCACTCAGTATCCGTTGTTCTGTTCGAATGACTGTCTCTTGGTCTGTATACAGTTCATCATGAGGACAATTAAATGTTCCGGAATTCCCATTCTTTGTAATGCTATCCATAATTTGTTATGATCTACATAGTCAAATACGTTTGTATAGTCAGTAAAACACAGGTAGACATCTTTCTGGTATTCTCTGCTTTCAGCCAAGATCCATCTGATATTAACAAGGATGTTCCTCGTTCCATGTCCTCTTCTGAATCCGGCTTGAACTACTGGCAGTTATCTGTCAATGTACTGCTGTAATCGCTTTTGAATGACCTTCAGCAGAATTTTACTTGGGTGTGATATTAATGATATGGTTCAATAATTTCCACATTCTGTTGGATCACCTTTCTTTGGAATGGGCACAAATATGGATCTCTTCCAGTCATTTGGCCAGGAAGCTGTCTTCCAAATTTCTTGAGATAGACAAGTGAGCACCTCCAGCACTACATCTGTTTGTTGAAACATCTCAATTGATATTCTCTCAGTTCGTGGAGTCTTGTTTTTCATCATTCCCTTCAATGCAGCTTGGTCTTCCTCCCTCAGTACCATTGGTTCTTGATCATATGCTACCTCCTGAAATGGTTGAACATCGACCAGTTCTTTTTAGTACAGTGACTCTGTATTCCTTCCATCTTCTTTTGATGCTTCCTATGTCGTTCAGTATTTTCCCTGTAGAATCCTTCCGTATTGCAACTTGAGGTTGAATTTTTTCTTTAGTTCTTTCAGCTTAAGAAATGCTGAGCATGTTCTTCCCTTTTGGTTTTCTAACTCTAGGTCTTTGCATATTTCGTTATAATGCTTTACTTTGTTTCTCGAGCCATCCTTTGAAATCCTCTGTTCAGCTCTTTTACTTCATCATTTCTTCCCTTTTGCTTTAGCTACTCTACATTCAAGAGCAAGTTTCAGTCTCTTCTGACATCTGTTTTGGTCTTTTCTGCCTTTCCTGTGTTTTTAATGACCTCTTGCTTTCTTCATGTGTGATGTCTTTGATGTCATTCCACCACTCACTGGGTTTTTGGTTGTTGGTGTTCAGTGCATCAGATCTTTTCTTGGGATGGTTTCTAAATTTAGGTGCAGTGTACTCAAGGTTGTATTTTGGCTCTTGTGGACTTACTCTAATTTTCTTCAGCTTCAACTTGAACTTACATATGAACAATTGATGGTCTGTTCTGCAGCTGGCTCCTGGCCTTGTTCTGATGATATTGAGCTTCTCCATCATCTCTTTCCATGAATGTCGTTGACTTAATTCCTATGTATTCCATTTGATGAGGTCCACATGTATAGTCATCATTTATGTTGTTTAAAAAAGGTATTTGTAGTGAAGAAGCCGTTGGTTTTGCAAAATTCTGTCATGCCGTCTCCTGCAACATTTCTATCACTAAGGCCCTATTTTCCAACTATTGATCCTTCTTCTTTGTTTCCAACTTTCGCATTCCTATCACCAGTAATTATCAATGCATCTTGATTGCATGTTTGATCAATTTCAGACTGCGGAAGTTGGTTGAAATTTTCAGTTTCCTCATCTTTGGCCTTAGTGGTTGGTGTGTAAATTTGAAGAATTGTCATATTAACTGGTCTTCCTTGTAGCAGTGTGGATGTTATCCTATCATTGACAGTGTTGTACTTCAGGATAGATCTTGAAATGTTCTTTTTGATGATGCATGTGAAACCACTCCTCTTCAAGTTGTCATTCCTGGCATAGTAGACCATATGATTGTCCAATTCAGAATGGCCAGTACCAGTCCATTTCAGGTCACTAATGCCGAGGATATCGATCTTTATGGGGTCCGTTTCATTTTTGACCAGTTCCAGTTTTCCTAGATTCAAACTTCATACATCCACATCCCGATTATTAATGGATGTTTGCAGCTATTTCTTCTGATTGTGAGTTGTGCCACATCAGCAGATGAAGGTCCTGAAGGCTTCACTCCATCCACATCATTAAGGTCAAGTCTGCTTTGAGGAGGCAGCTCTTCCCTAGTCGTATTTTGAGTGCTTTGTAACCTGAGGGGCTCATGCTTCTGTACAGTATCAGTGTTCTGCTGCTATTCATAAGGTTTTCACTGGCCAATTTATTTCAGAAGTAGACTGCCAGGTCCTTCTTCCTTGTCTGTGTTAGTGTGGAAGCTCCACTGAAACCTGTCCACCATGGGTGACCCTGCTGGTATTTGAAATGCCAGTGGCATAGCTTCCAGCATCCCAGCAACACGCAAGCCACCACAGTACAACAAAATGGACAGATGCATGGGGAAAACTCGTACTTACATATGTTAAAAATAAATCATTATTTACCCTAAGGGTTCTCTGTGTACAAGATAAAATTAAAACTTCTGAACTTGGCACAAAGGACCCCTCGTGATCTCCAGCATCTTCCTTTGGCAGCCTCCTGACACTTCTATGCGCTGGCTCCCTGTGCATGTGCCCTCTTCCTGGAAGACTTCCTCTCTTACCTTTACCTGACTGACTTGTCCTTGAGGCAACAGCAGAGAGGACACTCCCTCCAGGAAGCCTGCCCAATCTTTCTTGTCCACCACCAACCACTGGCCTAGGTGCCCCTTCTCTGGGCTCCCATGGGGCCCTGTATTTACCTCCATCCTGGGATCTATCACGCTATCCTCATTTGATTTTCATGTATTTGTCTAGACCCCAACTAGACTGTAAACTCCTTGAAGATAGGGAACTGAGTCTTGTTCACTGGTGTATAGTTCCTACTACAAAAAACAAACCAAACCTATTGCTGTCGAGTTGATTCCGACTCATAGCGACCCTATAGGACAGAGTAGAACTGCCCTATAGGGTTTCCAAGAAGTGGCCAGTGGATTTGAACTACTGACCTTTTGGTTAGCAGCTGAGCTCTTAACCACTGCGCCACCAAGTTTCCTACTACACTGCCTAGCAAATAATGTGTTATTGTGTGTTGTAGAGTTGATTCTGACACATAGCACCCTATAGGACCGTGTAGAATTGCCCCATAGGGTTTACTAGGCTGTAATCTTTATGGGAGGAGATCACCAGGTCTTTTCTCCTGCCGAGCCACTAGTGGGTTCGAACTGCCTACCTTTTGGTTAGCAGCCAAGTGCTTAACTATTGTGCCACCAGAGCTCCTTAGCAAATAATAGGGCTCTATAAATATTTGTTGAATGAATAAATGAATGTTTTAAGGAAATGTTGTATAAAATACAGATATAGTTATAAAACTGTTTGTGTGCCGGAACACCATTACGGCTTTTGTGTAGAGGAATGTTTGCAAACATTAGGTTCTCCTGGCTCCTGACCCAAACTCAGCATCAGCAAAGCAACACGCTCACCTGGAGAAAGGCAGAGTCCAGTGTCCAGGGTTCCGAAATGGTCTTTTTGCTTCCATCTTACCAAGGTTCCAGAAGACCCATTTCCTCACTCATGCATGTAACAGCTTGTATTAGTATCATGTACTAAGAATGCTACTCACTTCTTGAGTGTCTACTCTGAAGTTGGACCAGTTGGGGAAAAAAGAATCTAGGTTTATCAGTTTAGAGCTTTCCTTTAGGCTCATCAAAAAGTGAAATTTCTATTTTTTATTTGTGGAAGAAGAGGAAAAGGGGAAAGAGAAGAAAACACAAATTCCTTTCTTAACTTACAGAATTTTCTCTTTTCTGTTAAGACCCTTTGTTTATGATTTTATTTTATGGGACTTGAATGCAATATAGATTTTCAAAATACATATTACATAAATTATAGTTCTCATGCCAGTAATAAATTGGCTGACTAGAGGAGCAGCTTGTTGGGATCCCTTCATTCCCAGGAAATACCTCATAGTATAAATTAGAATAACTTAGAAAGCTGGTGATATCATGAGCTAAAATATTGTTTTCAGGAGCTTAAGGGAAGATTCTACTAGTATAAAATACATTTTCATTGTGGAATTAAGCTAACGTATGCTAAATGAATACAATTACATTGCTTTGTCGCTACATTTCATGTCATTGATGATGAGTTTTCAAAATAAATTGTAATAAAAGTAACCACTGGTTTTATTCATTAAATATTTAGAAAACAATTTGAAGAAATGGCTTCTTACTTTAACATATCTTCTGTAAAGGAATTTGCTGAGCATATAACTAATGGCACATCAGAAGAACGACAGAAAATTCTAAGAGACTTTTACGGTTCTCAGTATCCAGAAATAAAAGATTTTTTTGTGGATTCTGCTTCAAAATTAATCAAATCTGCCCATGAGAAAGGAGAGAAAATCAGGAATAAATCTGAAGAAAGAGAATCTCTTATGAAGGAAGAACTGTCAGACTCTGAAACTTTGTCCTTTAAAGATTCTACCAAGAAAATTTCTCAAATTTGCAGCCCAAAACTATATAAAGAAAAATCAATCAAGCTTCAAAGTTATGATTTCTGTGGAGAAGCGGTGTTTTCTAATGATACAGAAACTGAGAAATTACCTGTCAGCTCTACCCAAGAGATTGACGATGGGCTAAAAAGCCAATTATCCAAAGATACTGTAGCATCTTGTTCCCCGAACTGTAAGTCTGAAGTATGTGAGAGAAAGTTTGAAAATACCATGAAAGACCAACAGGACTTAACAAAAATAGATATTTCAAGAAATGGACCCCTTTTCAAATCAGAAACCAAAAAGATAGACAATCCAACATTAGGAAACATTTCTATGGGAGAGTTACTTGGTGACACCTCTATTCTTGATGACCTCTTTAAAAGTCATGGGAACAGCCTCACACGCCTGCCAAAGAAAGTTCTTTCAAGGCCCATGGAAAAATCAAAACAGAGGCCAAAAGATTTCTGGGACATACTGAATGAGCAGAATGACGACAGTCTTAGTAAACTCACCGACTTGGCAGTAATAGAAACTTTATGTGAAAAAGTGCCCCTTGCCACATCCTCCAAAAGGAAAGAAGAGCTAGAAACTTCTCTTTGGAAATCAAACAAGAAATTTTTGTGGAAAAAACGTAACTCAAGTGATACAGATGAAAACACAACCAGTACGTAGAATAATGTGTAAACATACAAATGAATTACTACACCAGTGAACTTCTGCCACACATGTTTACAGCACTGTATTCCACACAAATTATATTACCTTAAACATAGTTGTCAACGTGTATTTTTATTAAACCCTTGCTGTAGGGTATTTTTAAGTCTACAACGTTGTTATGTGTTGTTTTGACTATATTGTAATATAAACCTCTTATGAAATGGAAGATTCTAGATTTGTAGTCAGAGACTTAGGGCATCACACTTATTTTGTAATTATATGACCTTAGATAAGTCACTTACCCTTTGTGTGCCTTCATTTTTTAATGTGAAAGATGAAGGGTTTGAACTAGAGCATCATGAGTGTCCTTCTAGTTTAAAAAAGTTTCAATTCACCCTCCCAGATAACATTAAATCATAGGCCAAATCATGCCCACCCCAAAACCAAGTGTACATTGATATGTTTCTTATGTTTTTTTCTTACTAGCATTTGGAAAATCACTAAATTGTTTTCCTTATCCTTCAGTATCATGTTTTACTATGATTACGTTATTTTAGGTAAAAGTCATAACTGGTACTGTATGGCCATTTGTTAAGATAATTTATAACAGTTGTATAACTTTACTAATACTAAAGTAATATGCTTACTGCCATTAGCCACAGAATGTTAGTGCTCTGATTTTTATACAACTATGATTTAATTAATATAAATAAAGATTTGTATAGTGCCTTTGTATTAAGTATGAAGAATGAGTAATCAATTTATTTTATTTGGAACTGTTATATTTTGTTAAATTTAATGTATATGGTTTATAACCAAACTAGAAAGAGTCATAGTTGAATTTATTTAGAAACTCACTCTCGGTCCGTGTGTGCTGGGCACGTGTGGGTGTTGTGCGTACAGTGCGTACCATGTTTTACCATGCTAGGAGCTCAGGATGTACAGAGAGGCACTGCTAAGTGTGAAAGAAAGGATATCATGTCTGCAAAGAATCATGTCCATAAAGCCCCTCGCATCGTGCCTGGCAAGTTGTAGGCAGGGACCTGACGCTTCTACCGACCCACGTTCAGATGGACTGCCGCACCTTTCCCACAGTTGAGCTCTCAGGGCTGTGATAGGAGGAAAAGCCCACCAAGAAAATGGCAGTGAACCAAGAAATGATCCTGCTCAGCGACCATTGTTACTATGCTGAAGGAAATGGACCTTTGGCATACTCAGGATGTGGACAAATTGCTCAGAAATGGAAACAAAAAAACATTTTTTTCTCAAGGGACTGATGGCCAAGTAAGTTTTCCTTTAGGGCAGTGTTTTGCCCTAGAGAAATGTGACCCTAAGTAAGAAATCTATTTTATGTTGGGGCACAGTTCGTTTGTGCACATATGTATATATGCTTGAAATAAAATGTTTATGAAAGTATTTATATGCAACACACTTTTATATTATTCTTTTCTATTCCATTTCAGGCATTTGTTTGTTTTTGTTTTGATGAGCTCATAATCCATTAAATTGATTTCAGGACCCACTAATGATTGGGAACCACAGTTTGAAAAACACTGCTTTAGGTTATACAGTATTAGTCATTTTGTTTGCTTCTTGGCAGCTGCATTGTATCCAGAGTTATTGATGCTACATTCTGTCATTGCAGGCCTTTCTAGAAAAATAATGGGTAATGTAGTCTGTGGAAGACTTGGCACGTACAGGTCATTAGCTCACTATGTGCTCCACTGTATGAGGATTTTTGATAAGCAAAGAGGTCCCTCTGCCATCTCATTGTATAGACGGACAGTATATTTCAGATATTTTAATAAAAGTACATCCTTCATAAAATACCTTTTAAAATTTTTACATAGACATGACCTTAGAATCATAAAATGATATTCATGCAAATATTAGCTCTATATTCTTCATATATAAAGAAATGCTATTATAGAGTTTTACCAGCGATTGTCAAATTGGGAGCAAAAATGCAGGCCTGGAGTTTAAAAATTAGTTTTCAGTGGTTGTCAGGGAAACATTCGTCCTTATTATCACACAGAAATAGTGTGCCAAGCAGAGTCTGGAGCCCAGTATCAAAAGGAGACAGTCTGTCAGAGAGTTTTGAAAGGAAGCTGCCATGGTTAACTTTCCCTACAGTGGGACAGTGGAAAGAGGTTGGCTCAACCACTAACGAGTCTGGGAGCAGGCCCCATGAGGATCCGACAGTAAGAATCCTTCCCACCTCTACCTCACTGGTGCCGTGCTACCAAACTCGGCCAACTAAATGTGTCGCCCAGGGCGAATCCCTTAGCTTCTTCCAGCCTCAGTTTCCCCTTGTTTAAATTAGAGGTGGACTAGATTGGTGGTGTTCAAGAATTTTTTTTTTAAACTGAACTTCATCTTAATCAGAACCTCAGTTACTTAACGGCAATTAAAAATGGAGGTCTGCAGGATCACAACAGAGGGTTTGGGACAGAGCTGGAGAAGGATGTAGAACAAAATTGTAACACACAAAAGACCAGATTTACTGGCCAGAAAGAGACTGGAGAAACCCCAAGAGTATGGCCCCCAGACACCCTTTTAGCTCAGTGGTGAAGTCACTTCTGAGGTTCAGAGGTCAGCTGGGGATTGGACAGCCCCATAAAACAAAACGGGACTAATAAGGCACAGCAGTCCAGGGACAAGGACTAGAAGGCAGAAGGGGACAGGAAAGCTGGTAATAGGGAACCCAAGGTTGAGTAAAGGACAGTGTTGACATGTAGTGGGGTTCTTAACCATTGTCATAGGGCAACATGTGTACTGTTTAATGAGAAACTATTTTGTTCTGTAAACCTTCATCTAAAGAGAATAGCAGCACAACTGGAAGAATACAATCGATGTCACTGGATTATGCATGTAGAAATTTTTGAAATGGTGTATCTTTGGCTATGTATATTTTCACCAAAATAAAGGTCGAAAAGGGAGAGAGTTGACATGTCGTGAGGTTGTTAACCAATGCCATAAAACAATATGTGTACTGACTTTTTAATGAGAAACTATTTGTTCTGTAAACCTTCACCTAAAGTACAATAAAAAAAAAAAAGAAATACCAAAAAAGAAAAAAAATGGAAGTCTGCTGGTTCAGGCAGCACCCCTGTGGCTCCATGGAGCACTAGTTTGAAAACCACAGAGATGAGATCATTGCTAAGAAACTTTCCAACTTCAAGTTTCCGTGATTCTACTTGGCCATAATCTGTCTTTGCAGTGACACAGTTTCTGGCTGCTAGCACTCTCCACACAACTATTAATATTGGAAACTGAGGCAAGATAACAGGAGGACTTGCATTTCCATTCTTCAGGGCTCCCTTGAAGCCCTGACACTACTACTTCAAGTAAATTAACATCCGCAAGTGGTGCAGCCGCCCCTAAGTGTTCAAGGAAAGAAGGCCTTAGTTCTTAGGGATGAGTTGGTGATAAACTTGTCGTTAGTCCATAGCAAAATGAGAAAGCCAAGGGCAGTGTAGGGCTTTCGTAAATTAAGGTTCAGTATGTGCAGTTTTTAAATTCTGAAATTATCTTCCTGATGTTAGAATAGCCCTCTTTTATGAAACGATGATAGTCGAGCATAGTTTTTATTCTTTTATAAAAAGTTGGTAACCACGTCAGTTTCTATATTTGACATTTACTGGTCTATAAAATCCCAAAGAGTGAGGCATCAACGGTCTTAAAGGTCAGTTTTACATACAAGGAAATAGAGTTCCATAGGTCACTCTGTCACAAATGCAGTCAGCAGTGGATCTAGGACTGACCAAGGAGGACATTGAACCTATAAGCCCCTTTAAGAGGAATATGCCTTCAGAGAGCCAAGAGTGCAGATCTCTTTTTAGGCTCCTTACCTAATTCCAATGGTTTGCACACGACCGCTAACCTAAAGGTTGGTGGTTTGAACCCGCCCATCCATACCTCGGAATAAAAGGCCTGGCTATCTGCTTCTTCCATTAAGGTTATGGTCAAGAAAACCCTATGGGAGCCAACATAGCACTATAGACAGATGTACCACACCATCCCTTCACAGCAAAGACCCGAAATCTAAGTAAAACAGAGACGAACATCAATCCTAGAACCCAAAGTGTCAAATGAAGAGTTAAAGAACTCAACCAAGCACCAAATGGAATAAGAAACTGACAGAGAATAGAAAGCGAGGAGAGAGATGAGTGGAGGTCCGCTATCAGCTAACGCAGCACGGATTCACCATCCTGGACTCCTCCCCACCCCGCACCCTTCTTCTCCCTGCTCAGCCTCTGCCGCTTCCCAGCGGGTCGAGCGACCACTGTCCAGGAGGCACCAGCTTCGTGCTGCATGGTTTTGTACCCCACACACTGGCCAGCTCCTTCAGTGCCATTTTGTTGTTGCTGGTGTTGCTTTTTTCAGTTCTTTTGGTTTCTTCTCTGCCTCTCACCTCCTCCCCCTCCGTTCTCTCGAACACCTGGCTTCCTTTGCCATCTTTGCTTCTTCTTGAGAAGCTATGAACAGTCGCTTGGCTGGGGAGCTGCTTCCCTGGTCTGCGCTGCCACGCTGGTGGGATCCCTGGGGCCTTTTTGTTTTGTTTTGTTTTTTTTCCCTCCTTTTTGTTTTTTCTTCACTTCTCAGTTTCTCATCTCTCTCTAATTACCTTCTTTTCCTCTCTCCTGAATACCTGGCACTGTGTGCCATCTCCATCCCTTCTAACCAGGCTGTACTGCGAGGCTTGGGAGACACTTCCTTGATCTGCGGAGCCTCGCTGGTAGGATCCCTGGGGGCCTTTCATTTATTTATTTTCTTTTTTCCTTTTTGTTTTTCTTCATTTCTCAGTTTCTCATCTCTATCTACTTTCCTTCTTTTCCCGTCTCCTGAATACCTGGCGCTGTGTGCCATCTTTGCCCCTTGTAGATGGGCTATAACCCAAGCCTGGGAGCCACTTCCCTGGTCACCAGTGGGATACCTGGGGGCATTTCTCAATTTTTATTTATTTTACTTCTTTTTTCTTTTTGTTTTTCTTCATTTTTGTTTCTCATCCCTCCACTCCAACAGCAGGCTGCCGCAGCACTTTTTTTTTTTGCTCCTGTTTCTCTCCCCTCTCTCTTCTTTCCCATACCCATCTTAGCTCCACACATCACAACCTCGCCTGTCCCTCCTGCCTACCTGCACCATGCATTGATCATTGCATCCCCAAGAAGCACAGGCATGGCCTACCAGATCCGGCCCTTCACTGACCCCCGGCCTGCCCTGTTGGACCCAGGATGTGCCACAAACAACCCATTTCAGCCCCTCCCCTTCAGCTGGACCCACACTGCTGCACCATAGCTGAGCGATTGGCCCTGCCCATTGAACAAGGAGGTGTAAAGTATCATGCCTTCAGATGAGCAAACAACAAAGAACACAAAGCCCGTCTGCCCAGACATAACCAAATAAAACAAAAAAGCAGAACAAAACAAATCTACTGTCAATAAAGAAGATAACTACTGAATGTCCCAAAGACAGCAGACAATATCAAAATATATAAAAAAAAAATAGAACAGGATGATCCCAGTAGGCGTCCAAAATAAAACAACGGATGACTTTCCAGTGGAAGAAAAAGCACTGGAACTACCTGATAGGGAATTCAAATTTCTAATATTCAGAGCTATCCAAGAGTTAAAGCAAAAAGCAGACAAAAATGAGGGAAAAATAGACAAATTCTTGGAAAAGGTAGAAAAACAATGCAAGAATTTAGGAAAATAACACAGGAACAAAATGTCAAAACACATTCACAACTAGAAATCATACAATAACAACATGTAGAAATCCAAAAGATAACAAGATTTCAGAAATAGTATCATAGACGATCTGAGGAGCAGGTTTGAAACAATGGAAGACAGGATCAGTGAAATTGAAGACAAACACTTGGATACAACTTTCAAGAAAAATCAGAAAAAAGAAGAAAAATGAAGAAACCATGAGAATGATGTGGGATACAATCAAAAGCAAAAATTTGTGAGTGATTTGAGTTCCAGAAGAGGAGGAGAAAATGGAAAACACAGAAAGGATCACTGAAGAACTGCTGACAGAAAACTTCCCTAATACCATGAAAGATGAAAAACTGACCATCCAAGAAGCTCAACAAACCCCATATAGGATAGACCCCAAAAGAAAATCACCAAGACATTTCATAATCACGTTCACTAAAACCAAAGAAAAAGAACAAGTCCTGAGAGCAGCTTGAGAAAAACAAAAAGTCACATAGAGAGGGGAAACAATAAGACTAAGCTCTGATTACTCAGCAGAAACCATGCAGGCAAGAAGGCAATGGGATGACATAAATAAGACCTTGAAAGAAAAAAAAAAAAAATGCCAACCAAGAATAATATATCCTGCACAACCCTTGTTCACATATGATAGTGACATTAGGACATTTCCAGATAAACAGAAATTAAGGGAATATGTAAAAACCAGATCAAACTTAAAAGAATTATTAAAGGGAATCCTTCGGCTTGAGAACAAGCAACATCAGACCACAGCCTGGGTCTAGGGCGCAAGATCACAGTAGCCAGATACCAGTCTAGGAATTGAACTCTCAAGGGCTATTCAAAACCAAAAGATTTACAGCAAGGAACCAGAGAGGTTAATCTATAAATGACAACATCAGAACAATAAAAGAGAGAATAAATGGTGTAGGTATAGAACTTTCTAATAGAGAGGAAGGCAAGGTGTTATCAAGTAATAAAAGGCTGGTTCAAATCCAGGAAGATAAGGGTAAATTTCAAGGTAACCACAAAGAAAGTTAACAAACCTACTCATCAAAATAAAAAAAAACATAAAAGTCTCAGTAAAAACAAAATCTACAAAAACAGAAGAAATGAAAAAAAATCTACAAACAAAGGGAATTCAGCACAGGAGAGTAAGAAGAGCAAAGAAAACATCAGCACCACAAACAAAAAGCACTACAAAATGACAGCAATGAACTCACACCTATCAGTCATTACTCTGAAAGTAAATGGCCTAAATGCACCCATAAACAGACACTGACAGAATAGATAAAAAACAGGATCCATCAGTACACTGTATACAAGAGATACACCTTAGAAACAAAGACATAAATTTATTAAAAATTAAAAGACGGAAAAAAATATATCAAGCAAACCACTACCAAAAAAGAGCAGGAGTGGCAATACTAATCTCCAATAAAATAGACTTTAAAACAAAATCCGCCATAAAAGACAAAGAAGGGCACCATATAAGGATTAAAAGAACAATTCATCATGAAGAGATAACCATAATAAATATCTACACACCCAATGACAGGGCTCCAAAATACATAAGCTCTAACAGCACTGAAAAGAAAAATTGACAGTTCCACGATAAGAGTAGGAAACTTCAACACACCTCTCTAAACGACAGAACATCTAGAAAGAAACTCAGCAAAGATACAGAAGATTTAAAGGCCACACTCAGCCAACTTGAACTCATAGACATATATAGAACACTCCACCCAACAGCTGCAAAGTACACATTCTTTTCCCACCTACGTGGAA